CAACAGCTCACGCCCGTCTTGTGTTGTTGGCGCTAATGGAGAAGTTGGACGACCGCCTCATGTACTACGACACTGACTCTGTCGTATTCCTCCACCGCCCCGGGGACTGGCTGCCAGAGACCGGGAGCATCCTGGGTGATTGGGACGACCAGTTGCAGGCCGGCGAGAGCCACATCGTCAAGTTTGTGTCATGCGGTCCAAAGGTCTACAGCTACGAAACCGACACCGGACGGATTGAATTGAAGGTATGAACACTGTACTTGTACTTTTTATACTCGTACTTTTAAATAATCTGATAATTGTGTTAGTCCAAGGGGATCGCGCAGAATGGATACACTGAGGATATCCTGGATTTTGATGAAATTAAAAAATCCTTTACGCGCACGGGGAAAGCACTGGACTTTGATGCCTTGCAACGCCTTTTGGATGGCAGCGACAGCCATGTGCAGGTCATCTACCCGCAGTTCATCAAGCGGAACGGCAAGACCCAGGAGATCAATACTGTGCAGTTATTTAAAAAGCTGCAGATGGTCTATGATAAGCGCATGCTTTTTCCTGACTTTTCTACCTTGCCTTTTGGTACAAAGCAGTAATTTAAATTCGGGCCGCTAACGGGTACTTTTTTGTTATTTTAAGCGGAAATGTTTTATTGTTTTGATAGAAAAAGAGGCTGTATGCCCATTACTTGCAATTCATTAGCATGAAACGCTGTATTCATGTTGATGCGATTGTGAGTATTAGGCTTATACCAGTTACGTCATCATCGCCAGCTGTCACCGGTCAAATTATTATACATGTGTTCAGTGAAAGCTGACAGGGTGGGGGAAAATACACAAGAGAAAGGGGTAAAGTTCGGTTCAGTCCGGTTGAACCGATTCGGATGGGTCTCGGTTCGGTCTCGGGCCGGTTCAGTTCAGTTCGGTTCGGTTCTGCCCAATCAGAGAAGAGGGCGGGTCTGCCCAATTAGAGAAGAGGGCGTGTCTGACCAATCAGAGAAGAGGGCGTGTCTGACCAATCAGAGAAGAGGACGTGTCTGACCAATCAGAGAAGAGGGCGCGTCTGACAAATCAGAGAAGAGGGCGTGTCTGACCAATCAGAGAAGAGGGCGTGTCTGACCAATCAAAGCGAGGGCGTGTCTGACCAATCAGAGAAGAGGGCGTGTCTGACCAATCAGAGCGAGGGCGTGTCTGACCAATCAGAGAAGAGGGCGTGTCTGACCAATCAGAGAAGAGGGCGTGTCTGACCAATCAGAGAAGAGGGCGTGTCTGACCAATCAGAGCGAGGATGCTATTCTAGCATACATACTACCAATGTACCCAAAACAGCCGCTGCATTCCCTCTACTACAGCTAAACTTAAAACGTTGTCTCAAAAAGGCTGTAGATCGAGGCTCTCTAGTAATGACACGAATCTTGCGGCCGACGAAACGGATTAGCTACGAGAAAGCCAATCCAAATGTCGCAAGTGTCTCGACGGCCAGAGCGTAGAAAAGATGTCCCAAATCCTCGACGAAGGCGTATTTCCGGCGCTTGAAGTCTTCTGCCATCTGCGCTACACTTCCTGCTTACAAAGAACTAGCGCGCACATGAGAGACGGCACGAAGGCGTATTTCCGGCGCTTGAAGTCTTCTGCCATCTGCGCTACACTTCCTGCTTACAAAGAACTAGCGCGCACATGAGAGACGGCTACAGTGTCCCAGCACGTTGCATCCCACTAATAATACACGTTGCATCCCACTAATGCAGCTAATACTTAGAAGTCCGTTACAAAGGCAAGTAGGGGCAATGCACTAGAAGTATTGATCGATATCATGTACGCTACGCTCTTGTTTTACAATTAATATCACAATTTAATTTTCAATATGCACATCAACGAGCACCACTCAGTGTGTACAACCAAATGAGGAATTTGTCCCAGTTAACATGCGAAGGGACCGTGAACAAGTAAACGTTGCAACAGAAAGCAGGTGGAACGACTCTCGCCTGTTCTCATGCACAGTTTTTTATTGATCTCCTTTAACAAAACGACTAAAGCATCACAACGAGTGCCAAATGCCTCGCACGCAATGGTGACAAAATAATTATTCCGCACATTTTGCGCAGGGTCTGCTAATACCGACATAATGTGCTATAACGTAAATTTTCAAATTTTCATAACTTTGTTTTTTTGCGTTAATTTTATGCACATATCCTTGGAAAATAAAGAATAACATATATACTAATAGTGTGTATCAAGGTTTTCTGTATTTTTCAAGCATTTTTACAAAAATTTAACGCGAAAATTAACAATGTTACGAATGTTTGAAGGTTTACGTTATAGCATATGCCTCTAGGTTGTAGCATATGTCTCTATGCCTGTAGCCAGCCTTGGGAATTTGCTGGACGAAGCGGCAGTGAGAATTGCAGTTGCGCTGCGTTTGGGTACTGTCATCTGCAGCGAACATAAATGCATTTGTGGAAGTATGGTTGATAAATTCGGTCGGCACGGACTGTCATGTAAACGAAGTAAAGGGAGGATTCCTCGACACGAACGTTTGAATGATATCACGCAAAGAGCAATCGGATCCGCGAAGATTTCATCTATCCGTGAGCCTACGGGTCTGGATCGAAATAACGGTAAACGGCCGGATGGATTAACTCATTATCCGTGGAAAGCGGCAAAGCGCTGGTGTGGGACGTAACTGTCGCCGATACGTTTGCACACAGACTTATATTGGTCAGACATCCGATCATGCTGGTGCTGCAGCAGAAGCGGCCGAACATCGGAAGTGCGCAAGTATGCTGACTTGGCTGACCAATACAATTTTTAACCCGTCGCGTTAGAGACAATGGGAAGCTGCGGTCTTCTCACCATGGATTTTTTTAAAGATCTAGCTAGACGCATCAGAGAGCAGACTGGCGAAATTCGCGCAAAGTGTTTTTGTTACAACGTTTTAGTATTGAAATTCAGCGCGGTAATGCGGCTTGTGTCTTGGGAACTGTTGAAAAGCAGCATGAGCTGGATGGATTAGTTTATGTTTAGTTTGTGCATAGTTTCTGAAAAGGTGTTTTATTCATTGTAGACGTTTCTAGCAAACTCAAATGCTTTTGTTATAGCATATAGCCAGTGTCAAATCTGCATCCTCAAAAATTTTATTGCGCTGTCATGATGTGCTGCACCGTAAGTATGGTGCACGCGCAGCATACCTAGAATTTACGCCGCTTGTCCTCTAGAATTTACGTAGAATTTACCTAGAATTTACGCCGCTCTTGCTTGTCCTTTCGTCGACATTGCTTTGAAGCGCATGTATTCCGTTTGGTATGGGGAAAATATTAGGATTGCAACCTGCTGGCAACATAAGCGTAAATATGTTGAGCCTCATCGCTAGGACGCATTCACGTTTCCCTTCTTAAACAGAAATCATCACCAATTACAAGGGAATGGACACAGTACATGGCACAACATTAGTTAAGTGTACATGCCCGCAAAGTTTCACTTTCGCACACTCCCAAACACTTTTGCACAGTTTCATGGCATTCTGTAGCTAGGTGATTTGTGTTCATGGACGTGAAAGCCGTTTGTGCGCGCAACTTCCGGTTGGGGAATTCTGGCTGAAATAAATTTCCATGAAGTTTGGATGCATTCGAGTGTACCAGAACTCTCAGAACGAACCGATCTTCGTCTGAAATCGGTGGAAAAAGACACACACATATTAACCAGGGCACATTTTCCGGGTCTAAATTATAAAAAAGCTCCATCTTTCGTAAAGCGTTAGTTAGTATTCTACCGTAGTATATTTAAAAGAATTTTTTCATCTGGCATAGTTAATCAGGCTTGGCTAACAAAAATTAAATGAGTGCCGTGGACAGCTTCAGTTGTCCAGCACCACCAAATGTGAATCCCGCGCGCATTTCCCATGCCGATGCCGTCGATGGTAAACTGTAAATTTTAGAATACCTTATTAAATAATTTATAATAATATACAGATATTCGTACATAAAGCATTGTTTACAGACTGCAAATACTGAATGAATTTTAAATGCTGCAAATACTGAATGAATTCACAATCAACTGGCAGCGATGACATCGGCCAAGTGGCTACGTGACAGGTCGTCGCGGGACATTTGGTTTTACGGACATTTCGTCTAAGGACAACTCGTTGTTGGGGCAAATAGTCATATGACTGTTCGTTACCATAAACCAGTCGATTATATTTCGACTCCGCAAAAGTCGCCCGACCAAATGTCACACAACAAAACTTCTGCAAAACGATTTTTCCCAAAGCAAATAAGCAGCTGCGACGAAAAACGTGCGACGAAATGTCCCACGACGAAATGTCCAGCGACCACTTGGGCTGTCACGGGCCAAGTCAGTGCTGGACAACAGAAGCTTTTCGTGGGCATATCTAATGAAATGGGTGCAAAATAAAAATTTCCAAAACATCTGTGGCACTGCATTGCGACAGTTTGCACTTTGCAGTACTATGTTTGGTACTCATCTGATTTGTTTAGGCCACGCCCTATGAGTACGGACCATGGCAGATGAAATAATTTTTTGAAACATACTATCGTAGTACAGTATGCTATGGTTTAACATAAGATGAGATTTTTTACATTTACACTAGAAAAATGTGCCCTGGGGGCCTGGTAAGGTCGTTTTAACACGAAACATAAATTCTGACAAATAAAATCAATCTTAAAATATTCAAAGTTCATTTCGAAATCCATACGTATTTGGCTTTTTCAAAGAAATTTGGTAGAAGACGCGTTCCTAACGAGAGACTTTTGACACATCAAAGCAGTTAGACTTTATGGAATTGTTTCAGACAGAATTTCCCAACCGGATATCGCGCGCACAATCAGTTTTCCCGGCCATGTCAGAAGTGGCACGATCCGTACAACGTTTCGTTTCTGGCACCAGTGAACTGTTTCGTAAGCATGTTGCGTTTCGATAGGGAGCTGTATAATAACTGTGGTACTGCGGTATTTCTGCAGAAACACAGAAACATCGGAAAAACAGAGACATCTAGGGCTGTTATTTCTACAGAAACACAGAAACAGCGACATTTTATATAGGAACTGCTGTATTTCTACAGAAACACACAAACAGCGACATTTTGTATGGTAACAGCTGTATTACTACAGAAACACAGAAACAGCGACTTCCTTGAGCTAAACCACCATGTCATTGCACCAGAAAATACACGAAAAACTCGGATGTCAGTATGATTAAATGCGACAATAACTGTTGACAGAGTGGCCTAAACCGATGCAGTGCCAATGGAACAGGTGACAAGTTGCTGCCGAACTGCTGCCGTTTCACTCTGCTGCTGACGTAATGCAGGGTTTGCAGTTCCATTTTGTCTTGTCGAGCTTGCTTTTTGATCGCCGCGGAATAACACAATGAATGTGGAATACCTTTCCGCAGTTTACGCACGTAACCGTTTCCTTCTGGTTTGTGGCATCTGTTTTGCAAGTGCAGCAAATCTGAAAATGTTTAAATAGATTATTAAAATCTGTACAACCATACGGTATTAGAAAATAGTCAGATACGTCAAAACAACAAGCGAATTCAGTTTTTACTTACAGCACTATGCGCCACAACGTCTGGCTTGAAGGCTTTCTTCTTCACAGTCTGCTTCCCGCAGGCTTTCGCATTATTTGGTAAAACTGGTGGAACATCTGTAACAAAATATGATGCAATTATTCGAAAATTTATTCATAACGATGATCACTTTTTGATCACCAAAATCGAGTTTGCGCCTGTGAGAGTCTGTTGGTATGCCGTCGCTCAGTACCGGTTTTGGAAACGGTTGCCCTGCCGAGTAACTACTGCCTCCAGTCCGTTGGCCGCATGACTTTGCTGCTTCAGGATTTTGTTCTGGCCAAGGGTTCAGTAACACATTTCCTGGTTATGATTTTTAATCGAAATTCGCTGAATTTAATGGATTACCTTCGGAAGTTGCCGGTGATGGTAACGTCACTTTGCTTGGTGCCAGCACGGCAGTGGTCAAAGCGTACTCTTCCACGATCTCAGCGTTAGCGACTTTTCCTTCGACATCTACAGCTAAAATTCTTATAATGAACCTTAGCTCGGATGCTAGATATCATTCAGAAACCTTTTTCGATGTCTCCTCCCAACTGCTGCAGTAAATCGGCAGATATGTATCCAACCGACACCGCCATAGCTTTCTGGGTTCCAGATTCGCCCATAAAGCGGGCATCTCTGGAAACACTTGCACCTGGTATGGCTCGGACAACATCACGAATGCCATTAAGAAAGCCCACTTCTCCGCCCTGGGATAAGATCAGCTTTTCAGCTTCGCGGTCACGGAAATACAGCAGTTTCTTATCCTTTGACAGCTTAACATATCTTCCAATCTGTAAACAGAAGCAAAAAATAGCCGTAACAACACATAGCAACTTCATAGTATAAGAACAAATTTATGTAGCTTATATATGTGTCTGGCCTAAAAGGTCAACAGAAATTAATAACTACTAATGATTTACTAATGATATCAAGCCTACAGTTTCCGCCGTTTACAAATTTGTTGTGTGTAATAAACTTTGCGTTTTCAACAGGTTACCTGGCCGGGATCTGATACCGAAACTGCCGTAGATAACACTGTCCCAAACGAGGCGAGTGATTTTGGTCGCTTTGTTGGCGTAGAAACTTGCGTTGGAATTTCCAAGTCGCGTCGCTTTGGTAGTGCTGGCGTTTGCCAAGTCGATGCGGTTTTGCGCATGGCTGACATTACGTATCCATCAAGGTCACTTGGCACTATGCCGGTTTTACCGATTATTGCCAGTGCCTGTATAAAAAAATTGGGTGACGCTTTATCGGCTTAAAATTGGTAAATCTGCACCTTTTTTGTAAACGCGTACAACAGCGCGATGTGGCCGGCAATCCGTGATCGCGATTCCCGTAATCCGTACTTCTCCAGATGGGCCTCAATTTGTTCTTGAAGCTTATCGGAAATTTTGCATATCTCCAAAAAATCGTCGTCATCCAGCTCAAGGAAACGTGGCAAAAGATGTGACAGCGTGTTTGCCAGATCAGCCACTTCAACACGCTGCACAGCAGTGAGTTGGACAGCGACGGGAAACGATATTAACGCCAATTGCGACATCACGCGCATTCTGAAACGTAATTTGTGTTTGCATAGCTGAATCGTTTTCCGAGATGGTAAAGTTGTAATTACAACGTGTAAATGGAAGTAAAATTGCACGTATTCTTATGTAATCATAAAACGATTCAAACACTTACCAAAATTTACCAAAAGAACCGCGAATCGTCGTCCTTATTTAATTTGCTTACATTGTTTCTTAATTTCGCATGAATGCTTACCGTCCTGTCGCCCTTATTTTTGCCAGCCTATCTTCGTTACAAGAATAATTTCCATGCAGTGTGGAACAAGCCGCTACCCGCGTTTGCTTAATGGCTTGGCCTCAAAGGTCTCTTCAACCAAATGTTGGACAACTTCTACGTCAGATGGGTCATGGAGTATCACTTGCAGATTTTGTTTAGCGAAAACTTCTTCCCTGAGCATGGATGGCGTGATGGATTTAGAGTCCAGAATATCATGGGCATTTGGAGCAATAATTCTTCCCGCCATGCTGGTACATAGTGACTTCCCCGTACCAGTTACTCCTTCGCATACGATTGTTGGACACGCCTTGAGTTTCTCTCGAACTTTCTCCGAATGCAAGCCCATCAGCACAGCTCCTAACCATACAAACGCTCATTGACTGTTTTTATGAGCCATAGCATTATAGTTGTGTACGTATAGCAGGGGTTCTTTTACATGTTTTTTGTATGTTACAATAATTACTAGATATGACAAATAACTGCTCCATTACAATATTTAAAACCAATTGCTTATTATTTTTTTCTGAAATGAATCAAGTGTACACTTTAGAAAAGGGCATTGGTTAATGCCACTAAACCGCACTAGACCGCACTATGTTGTACCTGTGACAAGGCCCATCGACAACATAGTTTCCTTAGGCAAAATTTGGCTTAAAGAGAGAAATGGGCATCCGTTCAGGTATCCAGTTTTTGGAAGGCTGAGCTCACGCTGTACACCCGAAACCCACATGAATTTGGTGTCTTCCATGCCAACTAATTTTGCTTGATCGGACACCGCAAACACAGCGTTACGACCTGTCAAGACTCCTTCATATCACAATCACAAACATCCTTCATATCGGCTAAATAAACTTTGCAGTTTTGTTCTGATTCCCGTTACCTAACACAAAAAATCGCTTGCACTTCGAGTCGTCATTTTGCTCTTCTTCCTGCTTGATTTCGTCTGCAAGTGTTTGGAAACCAAGTCTAACTACACGTTGCTTCAGGTGTGAACGTCCCTGGTCAACACGGTCTCTGTTGCTCCTATTGAGAAAAATCAGAAAATACGAGCGTAATGAACATTTAGTAACGTCTTTAATATATCTATTCAGTTATGAGGGTCTTCATGTCTGACGAAATCTGGACCGGAAATCAATACGAGAACAATTGTTACGCAATTTTCGCTTGAAAATTTATATTTCAATAAGCTGTGTACGCTACTTTTTCAGCTCTTCGGTATTGTAAAAGCCATAGTCATTCAATTCCGAACTTGAAATCTTATGAAACAGTGGAGGAACTCCGGCATGTTTTCTGATTATGTCCATGAAGCGTCCAATGGATGAGAAAGCATCACTTGGGATGAAAATTGCGCTGAAAAATTTGAGACACAACGGGTAGGTCAACAGACAATTTTAATTAAAATTTTATCGAAACTTATTCTATCATTTATCGATTTTAAATGTTGGACGGGTAAATTACGGGTGTGCACGGGCGACCTTTTTGGTTCCGCAAGTGTGTTGGCTGCGGGCACGGAATTCCTGCACGGCTCTGACAAGACACTTGGCTAAACTGTCCTGTTCAGCTAAAGGTCACGGGTACAATGCCTTTGTAAAAAATCCGAGCATGTGCAAGCAGCGCATGTAAACGTGAACAACCTAGGCCATGTACACAAATAATCTAGCTACTGCATGTCATGAAACAATGCAAAAAGCGTTTGGGAATTGGGAGTGTACGTAAGTGAAAGGTTTCGTCATGTACTCTGTACACCAGTTTGGTGACATGTGCAGGGTCAATTCCCTTAGGCGTACGGAAGCATACTAAAAGTCTCATTGTGGACCGATCCTCTTAAAATTTTACACAAAAACGCGCATTACTAGGAAGATCGATTTTATACCAAACCAAGCTTTCTACCATTTTTCCAGGTTATAAATAAATTTTTTTAATTTTCGAAGATCATTTAAAAATTTCTTTTGAAAAAATTTTTTATTTTTTGCGATTTTCATCTAACAATCCATCAAAACGGCACCATCTAACTAACTACCAAATCAATTTTAAGAAGTAAAAGCACTGCGGCTTTTGGGCTTCGGCTTACTGTTGTCGAAAGCACACGTCTTTTCGCTCCCACGATATTGTCGATATCCAGTGCAAGCATAACAAGCCGCTATAATTATTATAACATATATATATATATATATATATATATATATATATAATTTTATAGAATTTCTAATCCAGAAATGTTACTTGTAACTATAGAATCGTGTCGTATAAACTTTACGAAATGCAATGCTCCTGAAAAACACGTTAAAATGCAACACACGGTGTGTAAACTGAAAACTTCCGGAAAAGTGGTTAAACGAGTAGCATGGTAATACTGTCAATAAACGAATATGCAGGCGCGACGTCTGGAGCCGAGCTAGTGCGATTGCGCTGCCAACGTTAAGAATGGCTGTAGCCTACAGCCATTAACCCTCCAGCGGGCGGTACCCGAAGGAATGCGAGTTTCATTTTGAAAATCGGGATTTCCCGATAAAAAAAATCAATTAAGAAAGGGAATTTTTTGTAAGCTTGTGCTGACCATAGGTCAGCCGTCGTGACTAGGGTGTTTGCCCACGCCAATGCCCATGAACGGTTTACAGCTTAAAAACATTTAATTTTGTGATAATTAGACGAATGGGAATAACATAAAAGCAATAATTTTATTAAATAGTACAAAAAAAGCACTTCCAAACAAGAGCATAGCAGTGGTCAACAAGTTGACCACTGGTCAGCAAAAAAATTAAAATCTACCAAATCCCGTTGCCATGTATTTTGACCACTATTAACAGATGGAATACAGAAAATAAACGATGCTAACGATATTTCTCTCCCATAACTTTCATTATACTCTCATACGAGGCTGCACGAAGCATTATTTTTGAAGTTTAACATTGCATTTCCTGTATTTCTGCACGCCTGGCCGCCTTTATACTGCCCGCATTGTGCGCGCTTGCATTTTTTTTCCGTGGTGTGGCCGCAAGTGCCACTATCTAAAAAGCTGCGCGGATAGTCCAGCTGCAGTGGTCAGTGGCGCAAAACAAGATATTAGCGGTCACTGGTCAGTAGCACCTTCTGGAACACATTAGCGACCGGAAGAAACTAGCTAGGCTGCCGCAAAGGTCAGGATCCCCAATGTGCACGCGTAAGTGTGCAATTGCTGTAGTTTTCAACCACCCGAGACTGATCACACAAAATTCGTGTTTCTGAAAAGCTGTGCAGCTCTCGCCTAACTTACCCAAGCGATGCATCAATATGTAGAAACGCGGCAAAGCGCGTGGTGTTGTGCCGCCATTCACAGTGTTATTGCAACGTCTGAAGAATTACAATCAGGACTACAATGTTCGGTTTTACCAGCGTTCTGTTTTCCTGAAGCAGACAAATTTAGAGGCGATTTTGGTTTTCGCCGACCGCCCGGGGTATTGATACGCAAAGCGTTTTTTGCCAGCTTCCGACCAACAAAACCGCGTGGCGCATGTTTTGCGTACGTACCGACAGCTACTTGATCTGATTACGTGATAAAGAGAAGCAGTCGAAATTGCATCCGCCCGTGTATCTGAGACCCTTCATGGGCAATGGTGTTGGCACGCAACACAATATTTTGACGGACTGTGGTCTTCTACTGTTCAACTTACAAGACCTGTGTTAATCGATTTTGGATAGAACGTTGTTAGTTGTACGTTGTTGATTTATCTCTGGTTTAATTATTCATCCACTAATTAGTTAATTAGCAAGATCTACGAGAGCTTGAAAAGTCCGAAATTAGCCGTTTTCGGGCAACGGTCATTTGTAATTGACTTGAGATATAAGTTTGAATTATGTTTTTACTGCTTCTTTAAAGTCTCTTATTGCTAATTATGCTAATTGATATTCATTAACTGTTCCCAATCATTGGGAAAAATATTCGGAAGACCATGTTGCGTCCTGACGCCAATGCCCGTCAACGGGTTAAGAATCAGGACTCAGGCATTTTTACTGAGAAACGACGATTCTGCTTTCAAGCTGTCAGCTACATCTGTACATCATTCAGAATTCGTCACATTCAAAAGCCATCAATTTAAAAAAAGTGAATTCGCGCAATATCACTCAAAATGATTCTAACTTAGGCGTTCCAAATTTTTAAGGGAACTGTAAGGGCGGGACGCCCCGCCCTCCTGAGTAGCTATTCGCTGTTTCTGGGGATTTCCACCCCGCACATTGCTGCGCTGTTTTGACGGACCTGCAGCACAGTTGCACTGGCTGCAGGATCCTTCCTCATTAGTCTGGTGTTGCTGCGCCACGGTGCGCATTAGATTCGGCAATAAAGCCTCATCCGGGTTCACCGCTGTTCGCTGTCGAGGATACGCATGGCGCCCATACGGCCCCGCGTTATAGAACAGATAACAGCGAAATTTACGATCGAGTATGACGGAACAGCATTTGAAAACTTTTTATCAAGAAAAAATTAGTCCGCGATGCTGCGCAGTTCGTGTTATGAGCATGAACAATTTGGAAAGCAATCATCAGGATTATTTTATGTAAAGCGCCAGCTACACCAAAATACAGTATTTCTTCGGTACAAAAAGCGCAACGATGCACCGGGCGTGTGGATAGGGTGTTTTCTGCTCAAAGCCTCTGCAATAATAATTAGTATAATCGCAGCTAAAGTTGCCGTATTTTCATACAGTGTGCTTCTTAGCTGCAAACTATAGTGACGTCACGTTCATTGAGTTCATCGTATTTTGAAGAGTGAAATCATTGAGCAATTGAAACTCACTACGGAGAAATCCAAACACTTTGCCACAAAATACCAACGGTAATTGTGAATTGTGGGAATATGCTCTGGACTCCGTAAGTGGTACTGCTGCCTACTTCCGCTAGGTACGAGCGGATTGCTGTGCCTAACGAAAGTTACCGAAACCCAAACACTCAGGAACTTCCCAAATGTTTAATCACCAAACTGAACGAACGAACAAACAGAACAGAACAGAACGAGATATGAACTTCCTTCTAACCTAGAGTCACACGACCTTTCAGCTAGAAACAAGCTCACAGATTTAGTTGAAGTCAGAAACTTCAGACTGATTAGTCAAACCAGAATCGTGGATCGCATTAGCGATCTAATGCGTTAGATAAGAACAGCAAATCGTACGTAACGGAACAGACAACACGTACGTCATAACACGTACGTAATACGCGCAAACTACGCATAGCGCGTTAACTGTAATTAAAAATTTGCTGCAAAATTTATATGAAGCTCACTGTTAACCTAAGCCGTCGCTGAAAGTACACAACTTTAATTTCCAACAACATTACACATTGTTTTTACAAAATATGAGCAAACCAATGCGTAATTATAACAAATAAATCTCGTTTAATTTATCCGCTTCGCCCATGGTCCCGGGTACAAATGCCGCTTTTCCCCTCTAATTTCCAGAGATAGTCGTTTTCGCAGAAATTCGTGGGAGCTTTATTTTCTTCCGCTTGCGCCGCGGCTGCTCCTGCGTATGTGGAGGTCGCTTTGACGTGACACGCCTCCACCGTGTCTAAGCAAGTTATATCCCGAGCAAGGCACATGCCGCCGTTACAGGCAAATGTTGTACAGCCGTCGGGGCCACGGGCTGTCGTGTGGTGTCCCACTCGGTTCTAGCTTTGCAGGCACACCAGCTGACAGAAGTCTGCGGCAAACAGTGCTGCTGAAAGTGAAATTTCAAAACGTAAGCAAATGCCGGGCATCGTCAGTGCGTACTACTGTTAAGTGAGCGCGAGCGCCAGTCTGCACTACTAGTTCAGTACGCATACACACTGTTCAAAAAATACAAGCCGACTACAGTATTCTGTTTAAATTTGGCTGCTATACTACTAGCGGTGGTTGCGAACTAACTTATTGCACGAGCGCGAGCGCCAGTACCACTGGGAAATGGTATTGGGATTGTGGAATTGGAAAAGCGTGACGTACACTCTTCGTGGCTTTAGACAAATTCTATGCTCTTGACGAAGACTTATTGCAGCACCACGCGCTTCGCGCTCGGTGCAAACAAATCTGCATAATGGCACTACCGCAACAGTGTAGATTCTACGAAGCCATGGGAGAAGGCTGAAAATACCCATGAAGCTGAAGAAGTACAAACAACATAAGAAAACATAAGAAACCATAACAAAATAAATAAGAACTTAAAAAATTAAAAAAGGAAAAATAAGAAAACAGCAAGAAACTAATATTAAACATAAAAAAGAAAACAAAAGAAAACTTAACAAAAAATAATAAAAATAAGAAAACACAAGAAAACTTAAGAAAGCTTAAAAGGTCTTACGAAACGTAAAAAAAACTGCAGAGACCTAAAAACGAAAACATGAAAAAAAAATACAAAACACTTAAGAAAATAGCATAAGAAAATTTAAAACAAAACCAAGAAATGTAACAAACTCGAAAAACCCGAAGCGGCCGACAGGATGACCGAAATATGTTTGGTTGGGCTTTCGGTTTCTTGTGCTTTTTATGTTTGCTTTTTTATTAGTTTTTTATAATATTTGACTTTTATTTTTTATGGTTTTATTATATTTTCATATGATTTATCTTTTTTCTAATCTTGCAGTATATTTCTTTAGGTTTCATTGGATTTTTTAGCCTTCACCCAAGACTTTGTGGGATCTACACAGTTATTTAGTATTCCGTACAGTTTTCTGTACATGCTGAAATTCCTGTAAGGGACCATCTCTAGATATTTTTGGTTTTGTTTAGACGGAAATGCTTCATTCGAACAATGATTTAAACTTCTGGCTGTAGTTACCGAGGCTTCCGCATTAGAGTCCATTGGCTGACTGACGGGTGAAATGTGCGCAAGCCGAAGTGAGCGTCGGACGAAAAATATCGCGGCCGAGTGCATGCCAGCCGATAAGTGTCACCGCCGGAAAACTTTGGCCGAAATAAACGTAGCCGAAAGGAAAACGGACGAAGTGATCGGTAGCCAGAATGCGGCTAAGGATGGGATAATGATGATGAGGAGTATAAGTAAGAACTTAGCTGCCCCGGGAACCTGTAAGGAGAGCGAGTAACACTACCGAGTCCAACTGTACGACACTACGACCGGCCTGCACTAAGTGGAACACCTTGTTGCTAGGACAGCAACAAACACGGCAATTTCTGAAATGGAGACTGAGAATGATAATTTAATAAACCATGAGGTACGAGGCAACATGCCAGTGCACATAATAATACGCCTACGCGGGTTTAAATTAATTAAAAATTCGAATTTTGAACATTGAAAAAACATCCAAAATTATTAGACTCTTTTGTGAGTTTAGGACGTGCGCTATATCTGCCCAAAACAGCTGTTGCATTTCCTCTGACTACCGCTAAACTGAAACGCTGTCTCAAAAAAGCTGAGACTGAGGCTCCCATGTCATGGATTTTGCGGCCGACGAAACGGATTACCTCGGCGAAAGGCATTCCAAATGTCCCAATCGTCTCGACGGCCAGAGGATCAAAAAGATATCCTAAAACCTCGACGAAAGCGTATTTCCGGCGCTTGAGGTCAGCTGTCGTTAGAATGGGAGTTCGGTAAGGTTAAACTGAGAACTTCGCTAATAATTGTGGCTTCCTTTAGGCGTCTGCCGGAAATCCTTAACAAACCCGTAGATGATCTCTGAAAATCGTAGTGGATGATGTCATCGTATAAGTGGTAATAATAACGGCTTCGTACGCCTGAAAGGAAATTTTTCGTCTTTGTGAATATTTCCCACCTGAACAATGGATACGGCTGTCCGGAGCCGCAGGAAAATTTAGCCACCGCCTTGCTTGTATTAAAGGTACGAGTATTGTTTTTCGGACATCGGGGTGTTGTTTGGCATTTGTTGCTGCGAATAAGACAGACCAACAGATTTAAGTAGGAAATTAAAAGCAGGCACAGAAATGGATCCAGAAATTTAGGGCCCGCGCTGAACCTTGGATTCGGATTCGCGGTAGGATTACTCAAACTTGGATTCGGATTACTCAAACTTGGACTTGGATTACCTAACTTGGATTACATAAGTTGGATTACTTAACTTGGAATACTTAACTTGGATTTCTTAAACTGGACTACTTATTTTTGGGCTTGGATTACGTTTTCCTAGACTGTTTTCTCGTGCTTATTCTTTTCCTCCTCTCAGGGTATTCTTAGGCTTCTTGAGTTTTTTAGGTTATTCCTAGGTTTTTAGGTTATTCTAAGGTTTCTTAGGTTAGGTTTCTTAGGTTTCTTAAGAAATACACGAAACCTAAGAATAACTTAAGAAACCTAAGAATAACATGAGAAACCTAAGAAGCCTAAGAATACCGTGAGAAAAGGAAAAGAATAAGCACGAAAAAACAGTATAAGAAAACGTAATCCGAGCCCAAAAATAAGTAGTCCAGTTCAAGAAATCCAAGTTAAGTAATCCAACGTCCAAGTCCAAGTTGGAGTAATCCGAATCCAAGTTCAGGTAATCCAACTCCGAATCCGAATCCAAGTTTGAGTAGTCCAACTCCGAATCCGAATCCAAGTTTGAGTAGTCCAACTCCGAATTCGAATCCAAGGTTCAGCGCGGGCCCTTTTCTGGCGCGTGCAGCCATGTTTCTTGCCGGCTTTCGCAAGTTAGAGTGACTTGAATAATGTCCAAAAGTAGCCCGAAAAAGGAACTGATTTACTTCTTAATAAATTCATGTTTCTGGCGCTTACTGTCGTCGGCTAGTTTCGCCACGGTTCCGGCTGTCTTCGAGCTGGCGCTCACGTGCACACGGCAACAGTGTCCCAGTATGTAGCATCCCACACGAATGCCTTACCATCGCGCACGGGAATCAAGGTCATCCCATCCGGCAGTTTATTATCCTTATCCGACAGGCCAATTTTGACCTGGACGATAATCCATAGATAATATAGTGGTGTGTCGCTCTTATCCATTTCTTCTTTCCTTTGCAAATATGTCGATGAAACGGTCAATTCGAAGAATTTGTCAAGAATTCGACCCTGATAATCCGACCAGCAGTGGACTAACTGGAGCAGGTACGTGTGTTGTTTGTGTTTTTTGGAGCTTACGATATAAGTATACTGTACACAGTACTTACGAGTGCGTTATTTTAACCAGGTCATGTGCGGTGGCACCGAGACATTCGCCGAGGACAGCTGGTCGCAGAACATTTGGTCGGAGTCACTTCGGCGCAAGGTCATCCCGCCGCGGTACACCTCATCCGTATACGTTTATTCGTTCCGGTATTTGGGCGCAAGACATTTTCCGAGAGGCCCTTTGGACGCCGAGACATCTCGCCGCGAAGCAAAGTGTCCAACGTGACAGCGCACATACATCCCTTGGCGAAATGTCATCGCGGCGAAAAGCCGTGGGTCGACTTTGACTGCCGCTAAATGTCACAATCCAGTTGTCCGGGTGCGGGAGCGGCGTACCTCTACTGTACATGTATGTTTGTAAAAGAAACAACGGCATAGCAACCGCATCAGCTTATTTTCAGCAGCCCAAGTACTTTTTAACATGCTTCTGGAATTCAGTTTCGTCGCTGGACGCAACAGGCCTGCACACAATTTTGTCGGATTAGGAGACCTGCGCTGCGCTTCGATCAAGCATGTCAATAATCGCGATGATGCGTCAATATCACCAGGTACCTTGTAATTTCCTTAAAATTAATAGTGCATCGTTCTATGCAACTTGTTTAACCCATTGCAAACCGAAAAAGTAGTTCGTTAGGGCAATAAGTAAACGATATAACTGCTATGAAATTTTACTTATTTGAAACTGATTTCAGAGTGATATTAAATTATTTACAGTCAAACTGAGTCAGTAACTAAACGTAACCCTTATCGACTTCGGGGCGCGCAGTGAGAGGGGAGGCAAGAGGTCCACATTAGGCACAGTATACGTTATAACTTTACTGAAAAACCCGTAGGAGGCCAGTTTTACGAGTACTAATTAATTATTTGCACTAATTGTTAATAGTAACAAGTATCGGTGGCGCTAGCGCGCCACCAGGTGTGTTTTAGGTATGGAAAGTAGAAACAGGAAGGAGATTACGAAGTTCAAACTGGTTCAAAGATATTAAAAGATATTAAATTTCGTAAAGGGCATATTTAAAAGATATTACAATGCGTAAAAGCGCGGCGCTATCAGCTATTACTGCATCAGTTTAGATATTTAATAATTTTAATCACTCAGATATTAAGGTATCAAAATATTTAGATGTGCGCGGGGCCGGCTTGGATTTCGAGGTATTTAGAAACATTTAGAAACATTTAAAAACATTTAGAAATATTTAGAAGTATTTAGAAATAGAAATATATTTAAATGTTTAGATTTTTGAACAGTAAGATATTCAGGTATTTAAATACTTAGCTTATTTGTAGAAAAAAGTTTTTTTGCACAACTTATTGCTTACAATCATTAATTGATGTGAAAAATTTTCGAAGATGTGTAGCAAATTCACGGCCCAATTTAGGGAGGGGGCGCGGTGGCACGTGCCCCCTCCGGAATTTTTGGAAAAGGTGGTATTGCTTGAAAAATATTACCGGCTGTGGAAAATGCAGCAGAAATTGCTGTTTTTTACTGAATTTCTAGCGATTTGTTCAGTCAAACTGTTTGTTAGCTTCGCGCTCCGCGCGGAAGTGACTCTGTGTTGTACTTTACCCATCATCATTGTAAGTTAAAATAGCTTAAAGTAAAACTTAACAACTCAAAATCATTGCGCACAATTTAGGTGTATATTTCACTGTCCACGAAGTGTACATTCCACGAAGCGCGCATTATCAGGGGCACGCATTATCTTTTTCTTTTATAAATAAACCGTGTTCGAAAAGAAGTTTCATCTAAAGCTCACAATAATTTACTGGTTTTAAAGAATTTCTAGTAATCCCAGGTGTAATAACGTGCATCGGCTTCACGCTCCCCGCAAAAATTTAATGTTTAACTTAACTTTCTACATGATATTGCATTTTGTTTTGCCGTTTAACATCCGCTACTGAAACATTTGAAATACATATCTGTATTTTGCTTATTTTTACTAATTTTTATAGCATTTCTAGCGTTTCTGCAATGAAATCGTCCGCCGGCTTCGCGCTTCACGCGCAAATTCACTGCTTTCTGAATTCTGTACATCAAATATCGCACTGCATTTTTGCCTTTTGACTTCTGCTGTAAAAATATTTCAGTTAATTCTGCTATTTTTTATGGAATTTCTAGCAATTTTCGCAGTGAAATCGTTCGCTGGCTTCGCGCTTTGCGCGAAAATGTCACTTTATGTAATTTTTGACTTGACACCTTGCTGTACCAACAATTTTGATTCAACTCGTGCTTTATATAAAATTGTTTATAAGTTGTGCAGCAAGTTATTTTGCTATCTTTGGGGATCATCGGTTCTCAGTTTCGCCTCCCGCCCAAGCGAGTTAAATTCGTCTATGGTAGCAATGGTTTATTTATCTCTGGATTTATATAGAATGTGCGTAAAAGTTTTTTTCTCATAACGCGAATAAAAAGAAAGTTACAGAAGGCAATGGTAAGAGCTGCCGTACGTGAGCTTTTTTTACATCACTACTCGACAGCTGCAAAAGTCCACGGCGCTTTAGTAAAAAGTAAAGTCATTATAATAACGAATACCTAACCTGTATCTGTATAGCAGCGCACTGCACTGCTTTACACAGTATCAAGAATGTGATATTATGTGGCCTTTAACTCTTGTTTGTCCACGCCCTCTTGACGTTGGCAGGTAGAAATATTTTTAAGAATACTACAATAGCATAAATTTTTTTACAAAAAATGAAAATTTTTGAAATTTGAGGGGTCCTACACTGTATGTGCCCTGGTTAATTACTCGTACTATAATAATAATATATTAATAACAATAATTATTATTATTATTAATTAGTTCTCGTACTACATAATTCAATTAATAATAATTAAGTCTCGGACAAATTCAAAGTTTTTATCCAGACTGGGCACCAGCTTGTGGGAGTAGTTTTATGTAATTATTAGTAATACAGTAATACTTATTAATTAATACTCGTACTAATTCAAAATTTTTGCCAGGACTAGGCTTTAGCTTTGTGCTACTAGACTAGTGGTTGTTTCACCGTTTTTGGAGATGGTACAGTTTACACTTTGGACCGATATGCTCTTCACTATAATTTGTGTTAGCAGTTTCTCAACAATTACCATTTGGTATTTACAAACCCGTTTCACACACGGCTTTTAAATGTAGTAATACCTCTGTAGTCTGCTATGACTTCTGCGTAATCTTAAAAAAGATTGCTAACACAATCAAAGTAAGGAGCATGGGAAAAAGTGCAAACTGTACCATCTCCAGGAACGTCTGGAAGGGTAAAAAAATTACCATAAGCTAGCAGCATGGATAAAAATTTTGAAGGAGCGAACTTGCCTCGTACAGATGTCAGATTGCTCAGAAACGTTAAAACGTGCGAGTACGGTGCGGTGCATTGACTTAGGGCTACATAGAGGCTGCAGCGCAGTGTAGATTTTACTTTTGAATTTTATTTTGGCCATGTGCTATTGACGACAGCAGCTAAAAATATTTTTTAATGCTTATTCTACAGAATTTTGTGTTACTTTTATCTTCAAACAAATGATGAATTTTTTTTTAAGTTTCAGCCGATGACGGGTCTGGTAAAATACTTCACTAAGGAAGCTGAAAGGTCAACCTAGACATAATGTCTTAATAGAAATAACGCAGAAGCGGCAATAGCCAAAGGGTGTGAGAAAGGTGATGACAATATTCAAGGAGGGTGTTTATTGTAATTAAAAACAGGGAGTGACAACAGTCAACAGGGGTTGCGGAGGGAGGGGGGGGGCGACAATAGTCGCACCTTTTGTTTATTAAGTTATAACTGCTTATATTTTGGCGAGCGCCAAAAAATGAGGAAAATTTAAAAGAGGGGAAATTTTCTGGAGCTGGAACTTGGAAGGTGGAATAAAAGTTTTCCTGTGTGAAATGCGGAAATTTTGTTCTCAAAAACATAAACATAACTGTTTTCGGTAAGGATCCCATTCGTAGACGTTAAAACTAAAGAACGATTTTTTTCTTTTTTGAAAACTGTTGCGTAATACAACTTTCGGAACCCATCGGGCAAAGAAATTCAACTACAGAGCAGGAAAAGCACTGAGACAAAAAATTTTTTACCATATAATTTTAAAGGGCTTAGGACGAAAGAAAACAGCGGATGGCAGTAGTGATAGTGGAGGACACTGTCAGGTTCGACAATTGTGCGAAACTAAGATTAAGCAGAGGCCGGAAGTGTAGCGCAAAATGCCGAAGTCAGCCAGCGCCGGAAGTATGCTTTTGTCGAGCATCTGGGATATCATTCTACCCTCTGGCACTCAACCGCTCGGAACCTTTAAAAGGGCCTTTGCGGAGGTGATCTGGTCCGCTGGCCGAAAGATCCGTGAAGTCACTGGGGAACCTCGATCTACGGGAGCCTTTTTTTAGACAGCGATTGCGTTAAGCGGTAGTCAGGGGAAATTCGGCGGCCGTTCGGGGAACTCTGAATACGCGTCCACAGATTTTTACAATCTGGTTATTTTTTTAGTGTTTATACTCCAATCATTTGAATTAATATACGTCAGCGCAGATATGTTTGTATGTATTAAGCAAATTATTACTTTCCAGAAACCTAAGAAGTAAAACGTATTAAAGCTGACTTTCTCTAATAGAAGCGATTTTTTTAAAAAAGCTGATTTTTTCTGTTGTCATAAAAAGTGCAAGAGCTTTTAAGTTAAACCGCACATATCCCTCTCCGGGCTAAAATGCGTGTGAGGTCTTCAGAATCGGAACCGTGTAATTCAGCATCTGACGACGCTAGAATTCGCATAAGCTTTACTTACCTCTTCAAAAATTAGAAAACAGTCGCATGTGAAATCAGCTATAGTGACCGAAATTAAAATGAAAAACAAATTAGAATGAAAAATCATTATCAGAAAATTAATAATTCTACACGAATTTTGTGAGGCCTTCGAGGTATAGGGCTTTTTCAGATTGTGAAGAGCGCCGACGACACAACAAACCTGGAGGGAAAGCCGATGCCGTTTCTTTGTAGAGTAGCAATACACACTTCTTGTTTTGTTATTGTCGCAGTTGTAGCTGCTGGGCGCATTATTACCGTGAATTCCGAGCATGCCTTTTTCTTATGGGAAATGAATTTCATGTTATATATTCAAATTTTGGTTATGCTTACCAGGTTTGTGAAGACAGTGCCATGGACGGTACCCTGCTGTGCGCTGCACTGAACTGGAGTCTGCTGTAGTTAACACCTCATCGTCGAACGCATCCAGCGGAATGCAAAATATTGCCAGGCAACCGAACAACAGAAATTAATATCAGTATCACCCTAAGTCGTATCCGTATCAAAGGCGGGCCCCTTCGTACGTCTACCAGGTACATCAAGCCGTAATAGCGTGCGTACGCAGATGTTCTTCCGATGTTGTTAGCTTCGTGCTGCTATTACTGTATTGTCAGAGGTATTTCAGTTTTCATCGTGACTTCCATGCGTGATATTGGATCACTGTTCGCTGCTGTAAACGGACGATGTTCATTGGTGCCTGTACGAAGACAGCGAATTCAGTGCCATAATTAGTAATCCGGTCCGAAGTTGCGATCTGATGTAAATATAGTGCGTATCAAATACGGGAATCATTGAAACGTACACGCCACTCCGTACGGTCGCCGCCGCAAACTGGCCTGACGGGTATTGCAGTCGCGGCTTCAACTCAGTGGTCCCTGGTTTCAGCCCATTTCAGCCCGATGTATACTGGGCAGGGCGCCATCCGAAGCAGACCGTGAAACATCGGAAAAATGCACCGATGAGGGAATCTAACCGCGGCTACGTCATAAGATCTGCGTAGGCAGTACCACTATACCACGGCGCAATATGTTGAAGACTGCGGCTGTACGTCTGTTAACCTTTTTACGTCAGCTGCTTCCCACCTTACATAATATTGTAATCGAAGCGATAGTTGCCGTACGGTACTCTTAACATGCCAACGCGCGGAACTGATATCCAACAGTACTCTCTATCAGTGTCGTTACTTAGACTTATGACTCTGGTTAGTTCTACAGTATATATAGCTTGCAATATACGTACGTTCTGGATACAGAACTTCAGGAACATAATTCGCTGCGCATTCTTTATTAATTGTATAGTTGTCGCGTGCGTATTTCGTTTCGTTTTTAGTCATGGCATGCCAACGCGTGGACTGATAGCCAACTGTATTATCTGTGTGTGGTTTCTTAGTCATAACTCTGGTTTATTTCTGTACTAGTATTATATACAATAGCTTGCAATATGCGCATGTTTTGGCGATCGAATTTTAAGAATATAATTTGCTGCACATCTTTTAATAATTGTACATAGTTGTCACTTGCGTATTTCCTTTCGTTTTCTTTGAAGTGGCACAAACCAACCCAGATTGTTTATTCGCAGACGCTAACTGGATTCTTCGGCAACGTCCGTAAAGGAGCAGGGGTAGTTTGTGAAACGGCAACACGCATCCGTGAGGACCACTACCGATCACAGGGACTGGGAAACTGGGCTGCGTATATTCGCTCCAGTCGACTGATGGCGTCAGAAGCAGTTTGGCTGTACAAGGTCCGCAACCGTTACAAAAGCAGGATACTATGTGCATCAGTGCATAAATTGTTCCCATTCAACCGCAACGCCGGATATGTTGGGAAAGAACGGATCAACACCATCACGCAGTCCGGCAGTCATACACTGGAAAGACGACCGTGGTAATGGCAACTAAAATTTTTATTTGATTAAATCGGGTTGGGTGTAGTGAATGTTTAATGTTTTACATGAAGTTCTGTTAAAAATGTACTGATCTAAAACTTCTGTGAATAACTTAATTGTTCTAAGCTATTCCCTTATTTTATTCTACTTTTTTATTTTACTTCTTGTGTGAATGAACGACTTGGTTGTTCTTAGCTCTTCCCCCATTTTAATCTACTTTCGACTCCCACCTTTTTCCGAAAGGTTTTGAACCTGAAACATTTTTGGTTTTAAGGCGTTGATATCCCTGTCAAATCTGATTTTGGGGTTTTGACACGGGCTATCAAGTTTTTTACATACTAACTGTTAGAATGAGCGGTGTTCCTTGAATTCCTTCTGTCAATTTGGGGGGTTTTCGGGAACAAATGTGCCCCTGTCACAGTTTGACACCCCTCTTGGCCAACGATATTACGCCCCTGCAACCAAACCCAACTTACTTGGAGGAAATGTGCACATACTCAAGACAGCTAGGTCATACGTTATGGGGCTCATTATTTCAGAAACAGCTCGGTTTACATCTCAGTAATCGAACAATCAAAAATGGCACGGTTCGGTCTAGTTGGTACGGGCATTCAGACAAAGCTATACAGGAGACAATAACACTGCATCCAGCAGGAACTGGGCAGACGCCAGATTCACTTTTCGACCCACTTCAGTATCCGGAAAGCAAGACAAACAAAAGATTGGAACCATTTATGTTTCAGACTGAATGTTTGGTTTTTTTGCCGTCTTGTTTGGTTTATTCTGCCAGATCCATTGTGCCATGCCCAGATCCTACTTGCCGAAATTTACTGACCCGTATCCCCCGCCGTATTTCGTGTTAGCAGGCTGCTTTCAGTTGTGCTTCGTCTCACCATTCACCAACGCTGTCCTATATTTCGGTAACGTCTTTTGTACTATATCAATATCCCAAACACACTTGGGAACGCGTGCCAAATCCAGCGGTAGCTCGTCACAGGTGGACTACCCTTTCTATACTTGCTTACTGTATACATTGTACATAAAAGAAAATTTTCGAAATGCCATCGTACGATGCGGGTGTGCATACAGGTATTATAACGTTCAAGGATTCGGGCACTTTACACTTAAAATCAATATCTGTAAATTCATAAATTGCTTCGTCTTTTTCCAATGCAGTTAATTCGAAATTCAACTTTTAAGGAGATCGTCACTTTCGAAAAAATTGTTAGTAACATGTAAATTGTTCACTTTAAGGTAACCTAGTACATTAAGTGGCAAATTTAAAGCACTTTCTCCCGGAATTTGTTCATACGTGGATACTTATAAAATAATGAGGGGAGCATCCGTGAAAAATGCTATATATTTGCAAAAAAATAGGACAGCATAGCAATTTTTGGTTACATTTTTAACGGTTTTCGCAGTGGTACTGACTGTAAGCTTCGCGTTCAGCGCGAAAGTAGCTCAAAGTTCTTTAAGCAGTAAGCACTTGACTGCTTTTATTCGGCATCGGCCAGCATACGTAACAATTTGCCTGCGCATGTTTACACTATTAAAAGTATACACTAATTAAAAGCAAGCACTTTAATAAATGAATGAACTTGACACCCATGCGTAACTGAAGGCAAGAGTTCGTCGTAGTCCACATTGCACACATATCAAGTGCTCAGCTGGCAAAGAAATAATGCTCCAAGAAGTGCACTAAATTTTTTTTAATAATTATTTTTTTATTGTATTTATTTATTGCATTTCTAGCGATCCCCGCACTGAAAAGCCCGTCGGCTTCACGCTTCTCGCGAATGTTCGCCTTTTCTCTAATCTCTTTGCATGATACAGCCCTTAAAACTTTTTGCCCTTTAGCTTTCGCTGCAAGCAATCTTTAAATGTTTTGCCTGTCATGTTTGTTTCTTAGGATGTTCCAGCATTTTTCGCAGCGAAATCTCTCGTTAGCTAGCAGTTGGATATTCCATAATACACGCATATGCGGTTAAGTATAACCACTTATTTATTGAATGACCATCCTTTGCATCAGAAACTCGTCATAATTAACCATTTTTATATAGAATTTCGAGCAATTTCCGCAGTAGAAATGTGCATCGGCTTCGCACGAAATTCAGTTTCCACTCAAAGTCTGTACATGATACAAGGCGGGGTCATGCCCTTTAATACCGTGCACTTTAGGAAATTTTTAATTACTGCCACTGATACTATTTTTTTAAAAATTGTAACAGTTTTTGCAGGGAGAACTTTTGCTGGCTTCGCGCCAAAATTGGCAATATTTAAATCATAATTCACTGATTTCGATATATTTTTCGATCCGATACCTTGTTCTACACGCACATTTTTGAATGCAGTTTCTCAAAAACTGAATCAGTGTAATTAAGTACTTTTAAAATTTCAATCGGTTTTTGCAGGAATGTATTTTACTGTTTACTGTGTTCTCAAATTCCCAGTGCCCCTTCCGCCCAAGCGACCTAAATTCGCCTATGGGTAAGTACATGGTACCAGAATCGAGTACAAGAACGAGAACTTTCACTTTCGGTCGAGAATATTCCAAACAGCTTGAACGCATTAAGGTGTCAAAAGACTCATTCTGGACGGATTTCTTTTAGATTCTGCTTTAATCTAAAACACCTGATTCGCAACACCTGAGAGGGATCGTCATCTGGGTCGTGCCAGTGTCCACTTCGCGAGTTTTTTGGCACCGAGCTTCTTGCTGTTCTTCCTATTGTTGGCGAAGAGTTCGGTGGCCTGGTTCGCTCGCTTCTGCTAGTTGAATGATACTGGCCACGGCGTCTGCCCTTGTGGTGATGGGGCGGGCCGTTGTGGCTCGCATGATGTGTTCCAGGCGTTCCGCGATTTCCGGTGGCAGGGGCAATGAGGCCGGTGTTGGGCCGACTTGTCATTCGGGCGGAAGTTTTCGGTTATGCGGGACCCTAGTCCTGGTACAGGGATCGGGTCAGGGATTCCGTCCAACCATTCAATGTCGCTGTCAGTCTCCGTTTCCGATTGGGATGGAGTGGCTGGTCGGCTGGGTACTGGTCCCGCTGCAAATCTATCAGCTAAAATCTGCATGACGCGCCTGTTCCGATCTCTCAGTTTTTCCGCCGGTCGACGGCCTGAGGATTGGGTCGGCGTCAAGAGTCTAACTTGGGCTCCGCGTGTTGGCTGCCCTGGTCGGTGTTTGGGTAACACGCGGTTGAGTGCTTGCTCGATCAGGCCCAGCTGGTATCCTCGGTTGAGGAAGCTGCGCATTTCTAGCGCAGCGTTGCCGGTATTCAGTGGCTACTCCATATACTGTAACATGGCCCGTCGAAGTCGCATCATATATATTCCAACGTGCGCTGGAGTTCTAAGTCCAGGGCAACCTTTCTTCGGATAGCTGCAATGTCCGTGCCTGTTAGGCCACGGATGGTTATGCGGATGTCCTCGTGGAGGGCCTCCGCAGCGTGAAGTACGCGTTCCAGGGGTGTTGACTCCGGAATAGCCCGTAGGCCATACGGGGATGATGTCGGTTCACGCTGGTCCGAGCCAGTGGCCATTGCCCAGTCGGTTGGCGCAGGCGTGGCCACTGGTGCTGATGAAGTTTCCCCCGTCGTAGCGGTTACTACGACGGTTTGGTCCAATGGAGGTGGTGGCGCTGATGGCGCTGGAGGCGGACGCGATGGTGCTGTGGACCCTCTTGTCCTAAACTGGTGCGCCATCCGATGTTGTTCCAGCTGCCATCTCAGCCTGTGAGATGTCGCCAGTAGGGCCTGACCAGTTTGGTCATGCAACGGGAATATTTCGTGCTGGGCCCGGCGGGTTGCGATTTCTTCGCTGAGTACGTGCGCTAGGCGTCGGAACCCATCCTGATCTTTAATGATCCGTTTAATCTGCTCACAGTGGTGAGGGTTATGTCTGTCCATTTCGCGGATCATGGTCTCCAATTCTAGGATGGAATTCTCTGCTTACACAAGATTCTCCTGGAGGATGTCGAGTGGCGTTCTGCCGTCAGCCAAAGGTTCATCTGGGGACTCGGACCGCGTTGACGGCGTTGACACTGACTAAATTTGGCACACAACATCGCCTGGCTGTGGTGCTGGCGATGACACAATGTTCTGTCGGTGGGAAAGTCTGGTCACGCCCGGCCAACACTGGGTTCGGTGCGGGCCATGCAGTATGGTCCGGTTCATTAATGCGAAGTTGGGCCGCCATTTCCGGTGGAAGGTCTTCTGGCCGATGGTATGCAGTATATACCCCATCCACAAATACCTGTAATGGGTAATCACGTAACTCGTTGAGTCGTGATGTGGTCGGCTGAGGTGGCGGCGGCTGTTCCGATCGGAATGCCTTCGGGGCCGTTTTTGGAGCTGATAAAGTTGGGTCCGTCGGCGCCTGAACCGTAGGTTCAGGTTCTGTCGCTGGAGGGTAGTAGAGCGGTTCGTCGTATCCACCATAACCACCGTATGGCGGTGGATATCCATAAGGTCCTGGCGGATACGCCCACGGTGGTGGGCATCGCCACTTATTCGGATCCGGCTACGGCTGGTTCGAAGGGCCAGGCGCAGGATACGGTGGATATCCGTAGTGGGAATTGTAGTATGGCGGTGGAGTGTAGCACGGCCTTGGTCCGACGTGGACTGGCGTAGTCTGGACCGTTGGTCCGACTGCTACTAATCGGTTGAGTGGTCGGTAGGCCACCATAGAGAATTAGTCGCGGGCCAGTATGGCTACGCGGTTGTCGGATCGATTGACCCGACGAAGAGCTTGGCTGACTGCCAACTGCTGCGGCGGTGACCAAGAGTCCGGTTTCATCGGGGAATGTCTCTGGCGGCAAGTGTTGCGACGGGATCGCTCGAGGTGGCAAAGGCTGCGACCGCGGTAGCGGTGTGTCGGCCCGTAGACCCGGTCCGACTGACCTGTTAGCCAGCTGTTCATCAGTTAAGTTAGCTCTTATATGAGGTACCTGCACACTCGGGCGCAAATTAGACGACTGAGTGGAAGATCCGCCTGACCGGGATTCCGGTTGTGAGTAAGGAATGTGTCCTGTTGCTTCGGTCGGAGTCGTCAGAGCGATCAGTACGTCGTCGTCCTTCCATCCGCACCCTACAAATGCCAACCTTCTTTAAAAGCCTGCAAAATGTCGCTTCCTATAAGATTTTTTGCATGATTTACCGACGCTTCGTAACATTTTTTTGCCTAATTTATGGAAAATTAAGGAAATACTGCCATCTAACTAAAATTAAGCGGTCACGCACCCCCTCCCCAGCATTCTGTACGCATGTGGTACAAGCTTGTCCGGTAATTCCATCGTAAAGGTACAGCTAGCGCGAAGGTTGCGCTTATAACGGTGGCCACTTCACTACTCGTACATTCGTCAGATTTCCTAAATGCGCTCCGCAGTTAGATGGTCGCTTACTGCACCGACCATTTTCTAGCCACCTTCCGCAAGGCAGTAACTAATACTCTCGTAAATTATCTGGTGCACCAAGCCACCAGCAAGCCAAAAGCATGTTACGTGTTTGATCAGCGTGGCGTAGCGCGCCGTGGTATGGAGTTTGGCGTAACCTGTGAATTTGTGTGTTTCGGTTTTCTGATGCGATGGAAATTACCGGACAATCTTGTACAGTGCACTTGTACGACAGCCGGATATTTTTGTTTAATCGTACGGTGCACTGCGTCATATGCGTATGGCATGTGGAAATGAGAGTACGCGATCATTTAGTCCTACATTGTATTAATCAGTTGGTTGCAAACCGATTTTGCGCAACGAATTTGAGAACCGAGAACTCTAAAAAATTTTCTGTACTCTAACCCTGCATTTGAAGAGAACTTGTACACTGTGAGAATTGCGTAAGGCCAGCTAAATTTCCAGCCGATTCGCGCTGTACCCTGCACTTTTGAATACATGTTCTGAATGCCGGTATTCTCGGACGGAAGTCGCTCATTGGTCCTGGCTGACGTTCCCTAAGCTCTATTGGAAGGTCGGCTTTCTCATCAAAACTCACTTTAAAAGGGGGCTAAACGAACATCATAAGTGGGTGAGGCTACTGCGTATAACCTTTTGCTGCTGAAACGACTTTATGGAATTCAGCCGCAAAAGTTTTGCGCATTCACAGAAGCGCGGACTACTGCTTTCCTTAAACAACGGTTTAGTTTCGCTGTTATCAAGGGAAATGTTGCATCTGTGTTAGGCACTTTACCTTTTAACCCCCGGGAGGAGATAGATTCTGGTTTATTTGTTTTATTTTATTTGGACGGTTGCTGCATATTAAAAATTGTTCGGAAGTCGTCTTGCCGGCGCCAACCAGGTGACATAATTATGTAGTTGTCATTTTTTTGTACTGTATAAACTGCTAACACACAGACATTTAAGCTCGGTAAATCCCCCACTTAGTAAGCGATTTTGCTCACTGTACAGTGATGGGGGCTCGATAACTCACTCACTAAATTAGCGATTTTCTTCACTGGACAGTAGTGGTTACTCGGTAACTCATTCACTTTATCGATTTTGCTAACTGGGCAGTAGTGGTAACTCGGTAACTCATTCACTCAATTACCGATTTTTCTAACTGGACAGTAGTGGTAACTCGGTAACTCATTCACTCAATTATCGATTTTGCTAAACTGGACAGTAGTGGTAACTCGTAAAATCATTCACTCAATTAGCGATTTTCCTCACTGGACAGTGGTGGGAGCTCGGTCACTTTGTTCGGTCTCTTTGCTTTTTGCGATTTTTTTAGAACAGTGGTCCTACCATTGTCGAACAGCCGGAAAATCTCACAGTACATATTTGTAGCGCACTGTCCGTATGTTTGGAAATACAACATGCCAAACCGTCCTAGTTTAAAAATGTGCCGACAATAAAACTCGTCAAGCTGACTTGTGATTTCTTAATTTTGTGGTTGGTGTTGCTCAGTTTTTTTTCCGTTTAATTTGCGTATTTAATAATGTATTGTACCTATGTTACGTCTTGTATCCAGGCAAAATTTTTTTAAGTTTCATGGTCACCTTGAAACTGGATTGGATCTGCGGCATCGTACCGGCAAGGTTTTAATCGGACGTATTCAACAAAAAGTCATGTGAAGCTGTTCTGTACCAAGGCCGCTCTTCTGTACCAAGGCCGATCTAACTGTGGTTTCAGATTTTTTTTGAAAAAGTTTTGTTTAGAGAATTGCCAGTCTGTGGGGAGGCCGCGCGTATGGTTGACCTTTTTCTTAATGCTATGAGATTCTCATGTACTATTTAATAATTATATACGTAACAATATATGATATATTTACATTCTCATGTAATTTATTATTTAGTACCTAATTTTTTAAATTCGTCGCTGCTGACAAACATATCTTCTATACTTACAAGAAACAGCTTCGGCTTCCCTCCGCGCCTATATACGGCCACTATAATTTATTTGATTTCGAATGAACGTTTAATCAATATCGCCAGTTTGATGACTTAATCACTTGACAGACTATTTTCGCTGAAGAGTGGAGTGTGTCCGGTGGTGTATGTCCGGTCAGTAGTGGTAGCTCGGTCGCTCGCTCGCTCAGCAGCCTTTGTGGCATCCCATTGGTGATTGGCGTGAGATGATAAGGACCAGTTTCTTTAGCTGCTATCTAATTTCTGGACTTCTTAACGAACGCTATTTTCAAATTTTTTTAAAGCTAACCATCACGAACAGCCTGTTTGATCAGTTTTTCTTAAACTGTAACAGCTTAATACTTCGGCGTTTATGGATCTAGGTTATTAATAGTTTTAGGCGAAAATAAATAATTCTTTTCGTTATGATCAGGATCGATTAACATGTTCATATATACACCCGCTAACCCGGATTATAACCAAAAATCGGCTGTTTGGATGTTGATTATGGTCAAATTAGATTTTAATTTTTTTATCCAAATCAATAGATTTCAGTTGGTATATTAAATTGCTGTAGTCGTTAGATGAAGTGGCTCCACGGAGTTGAAGTACATATTTCCGAACATGATTTTATATGTCTTTATTGGTCAAATCGAACATAAGGCGCAAGATATCGTAACATAACAAAGTATTAAAGAAAGAGTTATTTATAACAGGTAAATCTCATTCATTTTATCCGCTTCGCCCAAGGTCCCGAGTACAGATGTCGCGTTCCCTCTTTGGATTTCTAGCGGCAATCGTTGTCGCAGAAATTCGTGGTATGTTACTGGTACTGTTAGGAATACAGTCTCGATTTCTTCTCTTCGGCTTGTGCCGCTACCGTTCCCGCGGTTGTGGAGGTGGTTTTGAGATGAGAAACCGCCACCGTGTCTACACATGTCACGTCCCAAGCGAGACACATACCGCGCTTCCAGGCGAAAGTTGTGCAGCCGTCGGGACGACGATCTGTTGTGTGTGATGTTCCATGTGGTTCCAATTTGGCAAGCACACCAGCTGAAACATATCTGCGATACCGAGGAAGTCGAAGCGATTAACGCCAACAGTGCTATCTCCTTTGCACGCCGTATGCCCAGTCCTTCGCGACCAACCGGAAGACACATCTGCATCCATTGCGTATCGGTCACCGCAACGTTCACAATCGAAACGCCGGTTTTCCGCATTAAACCATCAAATTCTCTCAGTAGATCGGGATACCCGTAGCACTGACTTGTCCGTAAAATATACAGAAGCTCTGGAACGCTGAGGCAGTTAAGGCAGTTATTTAAAACTGTCTTTGCTGAGAAACAGATTTACATTTTATTATTTCCTTGTAGATTACTGCTTTTATTGGTCAAATCGAACTGAAATTACAGAGGGAAAAATGCGTGATTAGGGATAGATCCGAATAGGCATTCGCTTACATTTGCTTAACGTACTTAGTACTTACCGCTGACATTTATCGGGGAACTTTTTTTGTTTTTCACGTTAATTAATATATATGGGCAGATCGGAGCGAAACAAATGGCTCAGTTATTCAGTTGGGATCGGGCTGTTGGAGCATCTATTATGGCAATTCAACAATTTTCTCGAAAGGTTTTCTTATAACTGATAGCGTTTTACTCGGATTTTTAATGGATTAAGCATCACAAATACTCGAAAATCCATAAAAAATTAAGCGTTATAGAAATTTTACGGGGTTTAATACTACTTGAAACTCTGTGGTACGGAACCAGGAATAGCACAATGTTCCAAGTCTCCTTGTTGTTAGCTATCAACTACCGTAACTGCTAACAAAAGTGCCCCAACACAACAGCTTGCCGATTTAGACGTTTCTAAACGATGATTTGCCGCGAAATGACATCGCCGTAGGCGCTTATGGTGAAGTCACTAACTTGCACAGATTTTGCAACGTCCCAGCAAGGAACTACTCATGCGCTACGTAATATTTGTAAACGTTGCCACTTGCCATGCTGAGTCGCATAATACAGTGGCAGCTCAGCGTTAGGATATTATTTTTTACTCCGGCACCCATTTACGGAGCTTTACTGTTTGTTAGTTTTCATCTGTATTCGCATGAACCCGGTTCGCAAACGCGCGGAGCTTGAAAAGTTTCCGAAAATGCACGGTCACTGTGACCTATGAGACTACTTTAATTTTCCGGCAGCCCTACGGCATACGGCAGGTAAGTCTTTCTGCGTTAGGAAGTGTTTTAGAACACCCAGTGGACGTTCCACAAGGTGAGACCGCATGAGCCGAAAGCATATATGCACATTTTTAACTTCAGTTAAAAAGTGACCGGAAGTGCGCTTTCGTTGATTTAGCGTTAAGTGCAGAAACGAACACTACCCCTAGAATGGGGTCGCAGTCCCCGCGTTTCCAGGCCCAGTCTGGCACAGTCCCTGACGGTCACAGTCACAGAAGTCATACGGACTCCAACCCAGTCCAACCCAGTGTCACAGACTTCAGCAATACCCCACCAAGCTGGGGTCTGGTCCCACGTGCCTCCCTACATTTTCTATTGTTTGTTGCTCGGCATTTTAGATCACAAACAGTCTTTTATATAAGTCGGGTCCGGATTCTTATTTCTGAATAGTTTCGGGAATAGTTTCGGGAAGCGACTCGCCCGGTCGGCTAAATCTGCGGCTCTCAAGGCCTATATCTATCCTTTTCGTAACATGGTTAATAGCGGGAAGATTTTGGTTTTTCGTCCTCGATCTTATGGCAAAGTATGCAGCAGTATTGTTAACCCACCACACCGTAAATGTATGGAGAATGGTGATCGGCCATATTTTGTGCTTGGTGAAGTCACGGTAAGCTTCCGAAGCGTAGCTTTATGTACCACATATTTTTTTAAAATAACCGCAAATAATAATCAAAAAAATTATAAATTAGCATAAAGCTGGCCACTCTCCAAACAACAAAGACTACGAATGCTTTACTATTGTCAGGTAAGAAGATATCTTTAGACACCAACAAGCTTTAAGGCTCAAACATTTTTAACATGTATATGTCCCCGAAAAAAAGTGACTTCAGTAAATCGACAATCAAATGGTAAGAAAGTGCGCGCAATTGAAGATATAACAGATCTGCTACATTATCGTTCGGTAATTATTGACCTTTGTGCTTTTCCATTACAGTACAAAATAGAGCGCAGATCAGTGTATCCGGCATTCCGGCGACGTTTGGCTGGCAGAGATTTCATCAGCTATCAGAACACCGTCGTTGTACAGATGGCAAAAGATATGTGCTGGCTGGGATTCATCCAGGACATTAACGGTGACAAGGTGCTGGTTGACTTTGATTCGTCCACAGTGCCTGCACGTAACATCCCCGCTTCGCGCGTCTGGCCGCTACAGTTGGTGTCCAGTGAAGGTGTCGAATATGAGAACATGTCAGCATTCGCAGCTCTTCGCGATGAGCAGGATGGTCCCTTCCGTTTCCGTCCCGTCAGTGTGCTGAGTTTTGTTAAGGACTGCAAAATGTTTTTTATCTCCACAGACAGCTTGCCAGCAAGTGACACAGCGCCGGTAACTCAAATTTCCGTTGTGGATCGGTGCCAGATCGTCAGCCGACTGCCATTCGGCGAGCCGCTGCTGCTGGCCCGAACGAGCGGCATTCTCTACACGCGCCTTGAATTCCCCTTTGCTACGTCACAATTGGTTGTGGAAAGTGCCACGGAGGCAACGCGTTTCATTGACACATTTCGCCAACTGTACACTTCGCACCCGTCGCTTTCGGACATGGAGGACAGCTGTCGTTTCCATCTGCGAATCGGGTCGGATCAGTGCACGTTCATTGTCGTGGGTAGCCAAACAGACAGTGCAACCATTCAATGGACAGCGGAGATTCTGCGGAATATACTGGACCAGCATGCAACATGCCGTGCCAGTGTGCCCATGGCTCTTGTGGCCCAGACAGCGGAGTGCTCGGAGGGTTTGTTAATTCCCGGAGTAAAATCCACTTTAGCACTAACGAAACTTAATAAGTTTCGTTAGTGCTAAAGACTTATATACAAGACTATTAAGTGTATACGTGGCAATGATTGCTAGCGCAATCATTGTCACACACGTAACCTCGCTAGTAGGGGTGGTAGTAGGCTAGTAGCTTCTAGCTAGCATAGTACGCCGACGTACGGTTATTATATGGTTCAACCGTGAATGGTTGCACCTTGCAGTCTGCGCTCGGTTATTACGTTAGATTAATGTTAAGTATTTATTCCACTAAATACAGATAGCTTTATGAACATCTTAGCACGGCACCCTGCTGTCGGTTACTATAGACAGCCCATTTATTCTCTATTTTTATAAAAAAAAATTTCTTTGATTAGAAGATTTCTGTGATATGCATTTACTGCATGCCATTTGTAACCGTTTACCCTAAAAGCTCAGACTTTGTAATTTGATACCGTCACTGTTCGGGTATCAAGGACCTATTTGCGGGATGTCAAGCTGGTACCATAAAAGGTTATAAAAAAAGAATACCCAATTTGACACCTGTTTTGTTGAACATAATTTTATGGCACAGTAATTTAAAATTAAGACGATAGGTGACCGTGAGCTCCAAAATTGTAGCGGTATGGCTCCATTCCGCTGCAATTGGAGAAGTTAATCGTCAACCACACAAATGCTTTTAAATAACCGAAATACTAAATCCTTACAGCCGTTTGTAGTAAACAACTAGTATCGCAACACGTCTAGAGCGTCGCCAACAATAAGTTTCTCAGTGCAAAGTATCTGATCAGGTTTTCAAATTCAGGAGATGTCTAGTAACTGAACAAAATTATATGCGATACAATGTGATAGTCGCGAAAAGCTTGTCATGTGACGGACGGAATAAGCAGCACTTGCCAAATGCCAGAAACGTACTCGTACTGGTAGCCATTCGACTCCTCGGACCGGCAGTAAGTAAACAAAAAATCACAAATATTCTGCGGCAGTTCCTATGGGAAAGTGCCTTTTAAATCCTGCAAGATTTATTCAACTTTCATATATGCTGGCTGTTCCTCTTATTTCAAGGCTTTGGGGGCTTCGCAGAAAGTGATGAGATGATGGCCAAGGATACCGGCACAACCTGCACGGCCGGCTGTTTGTGCCATCTCCCACTCGTACTCGTGACCGAGATCCTGGAATTTCTGGATTTGCACACGCAGGCTCGCGCCATGCGGTAAATTCGCTGTTAATTATTATTCTGTACAATGTCTAAGAAACTGAAACAATTAACTGTAGATAAACGGTAGTTTGCTATATAGAGTGTGTGCATTGTGGCAACTGATCCTGACCAATCCCCACGCGACGCACCACATCAGTATTCTAACCGAGAACCTGACTCCGACACCGTACGGGGAGCACCAGTGTTGCCGCACGGCGGGAGTGTTGTTGCGGAGCATCACCCGTCACACGAAGAGCGTCACCATCACGGCACGCGCCCACGACTGGGATGCGGAGCTGTTCGACTGGCACTGCGCGCGCTTGGTGCAGAAGTTACTGAAAGTCAGCGACATAAAGCTGCCGTTCCTCGTGTTGAAGTCCTTCTGCCTGACATACGTGGTTCCTGCAGTGCTTCAGGTCTTCGAACCGGTCTGCGAACAACTCATCGTTCGTGGATGGAAATTGTGCGGAGCGCTGTTGGGCGTGATGCGATCGGATGTGGATGCCCTTATGACGCCCTGTACTCCCTTACCGGATCACGAAGAGCGCTTCATCAGCACGGCCAGTCCGGAAAACCCGCAGTCGGTTCTGAATGGGACGCTGACCATTCCGCACTTGGCTTGTGTGTGGCGCGACGGCCGGGAGCACATCAGCCGGGCGTTCATGTGCGCCCTGGACCGCTCCTTCCCACCGGCCACGCCCGACGTCTTCGCCAAAGTGGCGGCGGTGCGCACTCGCTGGCGCAACACGCTGGTTTACCCGGAGGAATGGCAGTCCATCCGTCACTTCCTAAGCATGTAACTTGGGGCGGTAGAAAAAACTGCAGCAGTGATTTAATTGACGGTTTTTTTCTAATTTGCTGCAGGTACAGCGGATTCTGGCCGGATGGCAGTCCGCACGCGTGGGATGATGTTGACTTGAGAAGTGTCGATCTTGACCAACTCAGCACACTGGCTTTGTGGGGAATCTATGAGATCTTCAACGTTTGAGTAGTAACAATGCATGACTTGTAGCGCTCTTGGATAATATTATTATGATTTTTTGATAATACTTGCTACATGTATGAGCAGCAAACGTATGAATGCTTCTGTACTTACGCCAACCGGGCGAGAGTGTGTGTTGTCTATACTTTTTCGGCCCTTGTCTCGTAAACAGAAAATAAAGATACCGTCCTCTAGCAGTTTTAGAGAAGCACAGCCTACCTATTTAATAGACATTTTTCGCAACTGCTCCACTTAACCATAGCACTACACTTAACCATACGCTATGGTTAAGTGCGAGCGTATGGTAAGTGCGGATACCATACAAATTCGTTGTATGGTAGCTGACTTCCAAAGGCTCCTCTTAGTTCCCATACACTTTAACTTCGTTAGAGCTAAGCTTTTCTAGCACAGAAAACATCGGAGAACTTGAATTTTGATGTTCCAAAGGATGCCATACCGTGTAGCACGAGAAAAAAAAATAAATACGAAGATCTCTAGAAAACAACTGCGCTGGTTTTAAGGTATCCTGTACACTGTCACTCCGACGGCGGTGTCTAGCTACACGATAAGGTATGGTTAAGGTATGGTTATGGTGTCTTTTGCGAAAAGCCTCTACTTGCTTGATCTATGGTCAAGAAAATTTCCGAAAAAATAATTTTTTTTATTGAATTATTTGAGGAAGAACCACCGATTTTCAAATTGGTATACACGTTCTTTCTGGTAGCTGACTTTGGTGAGTTAAATGGATTCCCATGCATTCCGACAGCCCCTGGTTGGCGAGTAGCCCATCGGCTATTGAAACATCGTGGCAGTACAGATGTAGAAGGATATCTACTGGCTCGGACACATCCAAGACATCAACGGTGACAACGTGTTGGTGGACGTCGATGACTCCACAGCGCCTGTACACTGTGTCCATGCTTTGCAAGCGCGACCGCTGCACTTCTGGGCTGAAACTGCATCGCGACCAGTACTGCAGTATGCCGGTGTTCGCCTCTCTCCGCGATGGATGCGGCGGTCCGTTTCACTTTCGCTTGGCCACTTTGCTGGGCGAAAGCGAAACGGACCGCCAGAACACCAGGGGTCCGAATACGATAACGTATCTTTAAAGTACAGAAATATGAGGCAAAAGGAAGTACACTTAAAGTGACCGAAATATGAGACAAACCGAAGCATCTCCACCCGCTTGCCTGGAATCCATGAAGCATCGAATACTGCAGCCGTTCATCGGTGCCAAATTATAAGCCGGTGGCCGTTCGATGAACCACTTCTACTGCTGGCCTCCACGCTCGCGGCGAAGACCAATCTAGCGCTGCTCGCAAGCATCACTGGATCGGTATTCTGCGCGAGCTTTGAAGACATTCGGGACAGCTGTCGTTTTCATCTGCGCATCGGGACGGACAAGTGCACGTTCGTTGTTTTCGGCTTCCAAAAGCACTTCGCAGCCATGGACAGGACAGCAAATGTTGCTCACGATATTGCGGAAATATTCCACGAGCCGAATCAGTGAGTCAGTGGTTCATTGGAGCGGATCTGCTAAATTCCTCAAATTGCGTTTCTCCGCTAAATACTCGTACAACAGCAGTGTTGCACATTCTTCGTATCCTCTACGTATGTAGGTATCTGTCATTGCCGTATCCCAAAATAATCTCTGCAGTCTCCTTGACGTAACGCACATGTATTCCACCAAGAATCGAAACAAAAGAAGCAAAAAAATAACTACGAATTAGTGGGATTATGGAACGCACACGAAAGATAATGCGAGAAAAATGTGGAATTGGCTTGTCAAAAAGGTTGACCACGAGCACCTTGATAATATTCACGAATTCGTGTAGAATGTTTAGTGGAGCACGATGATAGACTTTAACTCTTAACGGCAGTAATTTAAGCCTTGCCAAGCCAAGTTGGAATAGTTTGATTGATTAGTTATTGAGTAGCCAAGCCGGTTACAATTCGGCACTATCACATATCCTTATTCACGAAGAACATTATATCTGCAACACTACGGCTAGTCGAGTCAGTAAAGTCATCACACTCCGTATAACACCAGCAATACATATACTTCCCCTGTCAACAATTCACAAATCGAAATCTCTGCAGGCTGCATGTAACCTCTTGGCCTTGTAGTGTAAACATAGCCCATACATGCATTTGCTGCTGATGCGTGTAGCGTTTACCTGGCAAGAAGCCTTTTGCAAGAGGCATTTTGCAGCCTCGCACAATTCAAATCCGGACGTTGAGCAGCTCGTTGATTCCCCACAGCGCCAGTCTGCTGAGTTCGGTAAGATCGACTGTTCGGAGGTCGACATCCTCCCATGCGCGCGGACTGTCATCCGGCCGGAAACCGCTGTACCTGAAGTAAAATGGTGTAAGAAAGTGGGGTTTGAAGCCAGGAAAAGGTCGTAAGGAAGTTGTCGGTGTTCAGGAAAAGTTATTCAGCGAAATGGCGTTCAACGATTTCTCGTTTCAACAAATAGTCAGGTCATCGTTTCGTCGGTCAGCAAGTCGCCAGCAAGTTGTCGGTCAGCAGGACAGCTCCTTCGTTAACATAATGCTATAGTACCGTGGTACTAGCGGAAGAGGAAACGAGGAAACGCATGCTATCTGTGCAGTAAATAAAATTATATACTCTGTTTATTTTACATCGGCGTCTAATACGGTATTAATATTAATTTAGCTGATTTTACTCAATCAATGAATACCAACCCTCGAGGTACTCCGCCGACTCCGCTCGATCCGTCATGGTGAGGTGTTGGTTTACCTGTGGCCGTATTCTCCACTACCTGCAGCAACGTCTCTGCTGTGGACAGCGGGGACATTGATGCAAAAATCGGAGAAGACGGCCACGAGATATTGGAGAAAGCAACCCCCGCCGTTCATGGTCGCAGTCTCAAGCATGACAGGGATGCAGCTATCGGCCTTGAAATGGATGTGGAAGCGATACCTGTTCTCCTTGTGAGGCGGCGCAAGGAAGACTGGATCCCGTAAGTTTTGCAAAAGAGGTCTGCTTGGATGCTGAGCGGCAAGTTTGTGGAAAGGGAGTAAGTTCCTTGGCAATGGTGAGAGACAAGGTCACAAGCAGCACAGTCACAAGACGGAGGGCTGTGAATACTGACGTGCTGCGGGAGCCTGCGGTATTTATCTTCATAACCGGACATACACTGCAGCGGCCAGACTCGCGTATCATGCATGTAGCCCACAGGCGCTGTGGCGGAATCAAAGTCAACATGGACATGGTCACCGGCAACATCCTGGATATATCCCAGCCAGCATTCATCATTTTCCATTGGAACTGCTACGGTACGCCGACAGCTGATGGACTTGTTGTCCATTAGAAGCCGTCGAAATACCTGGAACAGAAGTAGGCGGTTCATTTTTCACTGCAAGATGGGAGAGCACTGCCTTTAAGTAATAGAAAGTTTGATTTTTTTGCATTTGAAACGCTGTCACTATAATTATGGTTCCTTAGGTATACGCACTCGACACACACGCCTACGGTCTTTAACTGGACTACTAACTACTAACTGGAATATCCCAGTAAACTGCCCATCAGATTAATTTCACCAGCCGCAAACCGTATTTAATCAATTTTACTGAGCATTTGATCTCCTGAAGCCGCTAACTGCATTTTCTGTTTCTCTCTTTTTTAAATAAACGCGTAACCCTTAACGAAATTTCCACTCTTAACACAAAAAATGATCTAAACAAAATTGTTTCGAGTTAGCCAGCCCGATACAGTAACCTACATGTGAGCGGAGAAGCGGCTCACGTACTGCGATAAAGTCTTTCAAAGGATTTCAACGTATTTGCGCCGTGGTGCAGTGGTACTGCCTACGCGGGTCTAACGACGTAGCCGGGCTTCGATTCCCCCATCGGCGCCTTTTTCAGCCGTATCTCGGTTTCCCTCGGATCGCGCCCTGCTTAGATACACATTACGTCTGCATATTATTGGATATCCGTTAGATTAATGTAGATTTACCGTAGCTGGTCAACCGAAGAAAATCAAACGCTTAAGGAAAATTTCAAAAAGAGCAAATATTCTGTGGGAAAAGTGAAGAACGAACTATCGTAAAACCGACCATCCCACCATTGTCTCGATTCGAGACTCTCCACAGCTAAAACGCGAACTTTGCTGGACTGGGGAAAACTTTCAGTTTCATGAATCAGGACCACGCATTATGCCGGAGTCTTTAATGAATTAGTAAATAAGGAATTGGGAACAGATTCGAGTCAATCGTCACAAGACTCTGTATTATTAATCAGTTATATGCTTACATACGCAGAGTTGGTTGAGTAGTTTACAAGCAGTGGTCCGACTAAAATCTTCGGGCTGAAAACGTGGTCCGACCAAAGTGTCCGGGATTAAAACGTAGCGCGACTGAAGTGTCCCTGCGAAATTCATGATCCAATAAAAGTGTCCGGGTTCAAAACGTGCTCCGACCAAAGTTTGCGGGCTTAAATCGTCGTCGGGTTGGGAAAATATCGGTGAAATGAAACTGCAAAAGGGTAAGAGTGCAGTCAGATGCAGAAATTCAAGGTTTCAAACTGAGGTAAACTGCACGCGTGGCGAATTTCCTCAGACCGCTGCACTGCTTCGTTCAAACTCGATCCGTGTTCCACGAAAACTACGAAAATACGGTAAAAACAATAATAACGGTATAATAACGGTAATAATAACGGTAAAAACATAACTGCGATTCCTACTTTAAACAAACCCGGGAGCCATGAAGTAAGACGAAAGAAAAGTCTCCGTTCATTGCCTTTGCCAATATGTCGCTGCGCTAAAGCAGAACACGACTTTCCAAAACTTGTGGTACGGGTCTCGCCATTGGATTCAGTAGCAGTACGTGCAAAACAAAGTGTTTAGTGTTTACCATTGTAAGGAGGAGTGGCCTCCCCGCACACCTGCACTGGTGCGGGTGCTAAGTTGTTTTGCTGTTTTCCGATAGTGATTTTCTCCATCTGCCAGATCTTCGATCTGGTAGATTCTTCAGTTGCTAGCCATCGTCGTCTGAGTAACTTGCTGGTCTTTTAGCCCCGCAGCATTCTGCTGCGGGAGCATCTGTAGTGACATATGAATGGGATATAAAAGTGTACTACGTAAACTGGATGTCGTGCGTTGCGCATTTATCCCTAGTTAGTTACGTCATACACTACACAGGGTCCTGTCAGTCT